CCTAATGAAATTTTTTAAATCGTAATGTTTTACAACTACACTGTCAAATATAGTCTCATTGACCACCTTTTGAGATAGGTTTGGATTATTTCCCCCACTTTATAGATAGGGGAAATGAGATTTAGAGATCATCAGTGACTTGCTGTGGGCCACTCAGCTAATTAGTGATAAAATTGGGAGCATTATTCAAGACTCAATAATTCCATTGCTCTATTCATTATATGTTTCTTCCAGAATTGTCAATGTTTAGATCTCAGCAAGATTTACAATTGATTTCTCTGTGATCATGTCAGAAAACCCTTATATAATACAGGTGTCAGGGATCAACGGTAGTACCAGCATTGTATGTTACCATTTACAGTGAAAAAGAGGGGGCATCTGCCGTCCCAGGGAAGGGCTCACCAAAGGAACAAAGTAACCCGCAAGATGCCTCTGAAATGCCACCCCTGAAAGGGCGCGTGCTGAGGGGTCCTGGGTTTTCACCAGATTGTGCTTCAGGAAGGCTGCATTGACCCATCCGGGCCTCAGCGTTTATCTTCCTACCACCTCACAGAACTTCATGACACCAGTCTCTCTACAGGCAGCCCGAGGAGGAAATAAAAAAAACACTGAAAACGGCACCTCTTAGGGACCTGGATGCTGTCAGTGGGAGGGAGATCCTGAAGCTTCTGGTCAACTCAACAGACGGGGTCAAACCAGCACTTTCTCCCACATCTGATGAGAGAAGGACATTCGATGCAAGCTGTCAATGACCAGAGTTGACTGTTGTTAGGTTCCCTCTGCCCCCTTCTGAAATGTTCAGTCTCCATTCCCCAGGCCACTGCCCAGCATGGTGGGATAGCTCTTGGTGGCAGTTGTGTGGGTGCAGAGGCTGAACTCTTCCTCCAGGACAGTGAGCAGAGCGAGAGGAAGGGAGAGGGATGGAGAGATGGAAGCATCGATGAGAGAGAATGTCGACTGGCCACCTCCTGCATGCCCCCCAGTGGGGATTGGGCCCACAACCTGGGCATGTGCCCTGACTGGGAATTGAATTGGTGACCTCTTGGTGCACGGAATGATGCTCAGTCCACTAAACCACACTGGCTGGGCAGGATGCCTTTTATTCTTTATTTTTTCTTGTCTGAGTGCTGTGGCTAGGACTTCTAATACTATGTTGAATGAAAGTGGTAAGAGTTGGCAATAAATAAATAAATAAATAGAAAAAGAGGCCCTGGCCTGTTTGGCTCAGCAGTTGGAGCATCAGCCTGCGACCAGAGAGTCCCGGGTTCAGTTCCTGCTGGGCTCTGGCGGCTAGGGGCACGTACCAAAATAAATAAATAAATAAATAAAAAATAAAGTGAAAAAGAAATATGTTACTTAATTCAATTGTGTACTCATTCAAACAACAAATAAGTAAACACTGAAATATATGGCAGGCACTGTGTTAGGCTCTATTATACCTAACTCTATTAGTTGTCTTTATAGCATAATAAATTATCCCCAATTTAATAGCTTAAAACAACAAATATGTATTAACTTACTGTTTCCCCCAGCCAGGAATTCAGGAGCACCTTAGCTGAGTGGTTGGTTCTGGCTCAGGTTCTCTCTTGAGGTTCAGTAAAGAAGATCAGGGATGCAGTCATCTGAAGGCTTTACTAGGGCTGGAGGATCTGCTTCCAAATTCACTTACATTGCTGTTGTCTGGAGTCCATAGTTCCCACTAGCTGGTGGCTGGAAGCCTTAATTACTCAGAATGTGGCCTCTATAGGTTTTATAATGCCCCTCCCTACAAGAAATCACACTATGTCATTTCTACCATGTTCTATTCCTGAGAACAAGTCACTAAGCACAGTTCAAACTCAAGGTGAGGGGAATTCAGCTCCATCTTTTGAAGGAAAAAGTATCAAAGAATTTGTGAACTTATAATTTACTTCACAGAACTTAATCTAATTATTACAAAATAATCTGTTAATCTGATTATAATATTTAGGTATTTAAAGGAAAACTAAGTCTACCAGAGAAGAGAGTGTTTTTGTTGTTATTGCTTATTTCCATTTTGTGTCTCACCCTTATTAAAAATTCTACATATAGTGCTAAATGATGAATTCTTCTATCTTAATATATCAATTAGAATTACATTCAGTACTTATAGCAGAAAACCTAAACAACAACACCTTAAATAAGAGGGATTTATTTTCCCTCATGAAACAAGTTCACAAATACCCAAGAGGGTAGAAGGGGGCAATCCAGAGCTGGTAAGCTGACTCTCCAAAGCAAACATGAAACAGGCATCTCTGACTTCTTACACTATTAATTGTGTGGGGGGCTTTGGTTATTATGGTTGAAATACAGCTGCTCCACCTCCAGCATCATGCCATTGCTCCAGGTAAGCAAAAGAATGGATACTGATCCAATGGCTAAAAGAACATTTCTTTCATAAAGCTTTGAGCCCCTCCTAGAAACATCTACTTTAATTTTGTTGACAGGCCACATGGGCAACCATGGCTTACAATTATCTTAGGAAGTAAAGATTTTTAACTGAACACACTGTCACCCTGAAAAAAAAAAATCAGAATTCTGTTAGTAAAGAAAAAAAGGATTTGGTTTAAACAACTAGCTGTGTTAATCACCCTTCTCCAAAGAGACTTGACACACATTATTCTGCTCCAAGGAGCTCTGACAGATTACTGCAACACCACACCAGATTAACAACAATGCTGTCTGAGGTTTATCTGTGTTTCAAATGGGAAAATCTGGTCGTTTTAAGTCCCATATATAAAACATATTTTTCAAAGTAGCCACATTTTATTTTTTTCTAGTTGATAATGTTGAAGAATTGGCTGACAAAAATGTCACTGCTATGCATTCATCCCAAAAGATAAGTGCACCGTTGTGCAAAGGGACATGCATAAGGAAGCTCATCAGAGCTGTTTAAAATAGTAAACATTTAGAAAAAACATAAATGTCAGTCAATAGAATACTGGTTGGATAAATGATGATATATCCACTTAATGGACACTATGCAACTTTTAAAAATGTTATTCATGACATTTTGTTCATTGAGAAAAGAACTCTGTACATAGATCCAGTTTATGAAGTATTGTGTTTCTATGTCTTTATGTATTTTTTTATTCTTAGAGATGTATGGAAGACCATAACATGAATTTTTTAAAATAGTTATCTCTGGATTATGAGATTTGGGGGAAAAATGGTTTGTATTTGTTTGAACAATATGTATTGTCTTCGTAAAAATAATAGCTATTTTTAAAAATACCCAAGAGGGTAGGAGGGGCTTATTTCATCTGGTATTTTTCATATCAGATTTCTTGTTGCCGGTAATTTTCTTAGACACTCTGTGGCTGACCTTATCCTTGGATGAATTTCTTATTTTTGCTCACTGAAAAAATGTTATTCCTTATTCATTATAAATTTCAATAAAATTAAAATGAGATAAGAAATGCTGAGTTTTTGTTTGTTTGCTTTGCTTTCCTTTCTATTTGGAACACTGAAACCTGGAGTCTCCTTTCCCTGTTTCCCAGCAGCTGTGGAAGGGAAGGCTGGGGAAGAGAGGAGGATGGAGGTAAGGGTATAAGGAAGAGAAGTCTGGAGGCATGGGCCAGGGAAAGGGCACTAATCTGGAAATCAGGATACAGTACTTGCACTTTTAGCATGGGCATATCAGTTTATCTTTCTGACCTCAGTTTTCTCATCTGAAAAATGAGAGGTTTAGGTTAAGAATCGCTAGGTGTGTTAAAATTCTTTTGGAAGATTCCTTTGGGTCTATTAATGTCATATCCTGGGAAAATATACTAGTGCTGAATCTAAACAAATTAAAGGAAAAAATAGTAACAACAACAACTTACAAATGTTGTTTCTTATTTCTCCCAGGCATGTGGTTAAGTAAACTGCCAAGATTACACACTAGGTGGAAGGACCAAGATTCCAGCTCAGAGCCTACACTCCTTATAGCTATGCTGAATGCCCCTAAAAAACTGCCCGAGGAGGGCATTTGAGAGAAGCAAGATAGCTTTCTCACCTTCAAGGTTAGCCCTTGGAGATGATGGTTAACTCCAACAAAGCCAAGACCTTACCCCCACCTCCTGGCTGCTTTGAGGTTGTCTCCATGGCTCACAGGCTCCTTCCTTTAGTTATTTATTTTTTGGTACGTCAACCGAACCTGGGACTCTCTGGTTCGCAGGCCGATACTCCAACCGCTGAGCCAAACCAGCCAGGGCTCCTTCCCCTAACTTTAAGATAGGTTTGTGATCAAAGTCCTTTAGCCAGCTAAGGGAGAGATGCTTTGCGGTCAAAGTCCTTTAGCCAGCTAAGGGAGAGATGCTTTGCAAAGCCCCAAGGAAACTCCTCCTGCCATTGCCTGCCACCACTGAAGTAATGGCAGACCCAAAGACCACGTGTGCCCACAGAAGGCTTTGTGGTATTACCACTAACTGAATTTTCAGCTTCCTGGTTCAAAGAACTGGTCATCCAACACTCGTCAGCATACCTCATCTTGCTGTATTTCCTTTCATTAAGGCTAGAGATACTGGGTAAAGAGAGTAGTGGGGCGCGGATGAGGTGGGGAAACGGGAAAAACCGGGTAACAGCAAGCTAGAGGTCAAAAGACTCCTGCCCTCAGACAAAAGTCCAGAAGAAGCCCGCAACCTCAGTCCCTGCTCTAGTCCCTCTCAAGGTCCGGAAGCTAGTGCAACACCCTACAGCACGGTGAGGAAGGCGAAGTAGGGCAGTGAGGAGCCGCAAGCCATCTTTCACTGTCGCTCACAGAAGATCCTACTTCCCAGACGACCTTCGCAGAAGGGCGGGCCATGCGCTCGGCGGCCAATCCCCGCGTCCGCAGTCGCCGTAGCCCCGCCCACCCCGCCCCCTCTCGCTCCGCTCATCCCTGCGGCTGGTGCAGCGGCCGCGACGTCACCACTTGGAGACCCCTGGGTGGCGCCTGCGCCGTCGGTGGGCCGCCGCCTGGACACGCTACGGGGAGGGGCGGAGCGAGAGGGCGGGAACGGGCGTTGGGCCCCCGTCGGCCGCCGCCGCCGCCGCCGCCGCCGCGGAATAATCTAGGCGGCAGCGGGCGGCCCCGGCTAGCGGCTACGAGCCCCTTCTGCGGCTGCGGAGTAGAGCGAAGGTCGCCGGTCTCGTGTCGTCCTCCTCTCCGCCCCCCAGGAGGGGCGAGAGGGAGTTGCAGCTGATGTCAGGTACGGCCGGTGGAGGCGCCCTCCGCCGAAGGCTGTGAATCCAAGGTCTTGGATCCCCTGGCCCTTCCCCTTCCCCGCGTCTGTGTGGGGGGAGCCTGGAGGGTGGAACCAAACAGCGGGCGCGGCTAAACAGGTGTTTAGGAGCCGCCACCGCAGCTGGGGACGTGCGGGCTCCTGAGGGCTGCGCGGGCACTTCCTGCTCCCGGCGCCTCTGCGAACTGCGATTGGGTCCGCCTGCCCACCCGGCCGCTATTTCGTGGAATTGCTGCTTCCTCCCGGCCGCGGGTCCTCCCCTCTGCCCTCCCGCGCCTCTCACCGCTCGCGCGCTCCCTGCGGTGGGGCGGCAACGGCGAGACGCCGGCGGCGCCGCGGGCTACGGCGGGGCCATTTAGCGGTCCTGCCCCGCGGAGCCCTCCCCGCCCCTCTGCGACCTGTGGGTCGAGAGGACGTGCGGCTCCGATGTGGGCACCTTCCGCCAGAGCCGCCGAGCCGCCGCGCCTCCTGAGCGCTCCGCGAGTGGGCGCCTGCCGCGAGTGCCGGGGCTTCCTCCGGGCTCCTGTGCATCCTCAGGTTTGTCTGGCAAATTCATCTTTTCAGATTCCTCTGCCTGGGCGGACCGACCCAGCCAGGTGCGCTGTGCGCGCTCGCCGCGTGGAGAAGGGAGGGGAGCAGAGGGTTTTCCTTCTCTCCCCACTTCCCCGAGTGTGACTTGATTAGTAGATGCTGACAAGTTGGCTGTACAGCTTTGAATCTGGATAAATTACATACTCTTAAAACATGCTCGTAATTCAGGGGCGAGGATTTCCTTTTCCCTAGCTCTTACCTCTCCCCTTACAATTTTTTAAAATAACGCATAGCCAACACTTGTCGACTAAATTTATAAGTTAGTTCTCTAAATTCATTATAGGTTTTGGGGTATATATTTTTTTTTACACTTTTCCGATTGGAAACTATTATGCTAGCCATGAATTGATTTCATTGTGAATGTAAAAGTTAGTTGTAAAAGTTAGAACTGAAATGCCTCAGAGTGAATAATTAGGCCGATGTGTAAGGGACAGAAATGTTCGTTTACTAAAAGTTGGGCATTGAACAGAGAGCTGTGTCTGGGTAGCAGGTCAAAGTGTTGTGTGTGATTTGGGTATTTAGACAACTTTTCACACCTTTATCAGATAAATGTCAAATGAGCTTTGTGCACTTGATGCTTTGTGTTCTAAATATTGTATATAGAAAACTATACATATTTTCTGCCAGCCATAGTATATATTGATGTGCAGTTTCAGTGAATAGAAAGTTTCAAGTTACCATTAACTCTTTTTATCATATCTCAAGTAAATCAGTGACTTAGTAAGGAAAGTATGGCTCATTTAAAGTTCTTCACAGGAAAAGAGTATGGTTTTTCAGTACTAGAGAACTCTTCATTGTCGCTCTTAAATTTGCCTGGAATTTATGTTCTAACAAATCATCTCACTTAGGACTCAGCATTTTAAAAATATTTTGTGGTTACTACCCATTTAAAGGTAAATACGTTTTTGTTTTAACTGTACTTTTAAAATATACTTCTGAGTAAATTAAGTATTCAGAAATGATTAGAATTCTTAGATTTTTATCACTGACTTATTTAGGAGTACATATAATGAATTAATGTTCACCTAGTCATAGAAATACAAAAGTTTGTCACTAGACCCATGCCTTTTAGCATTTGTATATTGATTTGTGCTCACTACGATAAAAATTACATTATATACAGCTTAAGAACTTTACAAACCATGGTAATTTAAACTAGTTTTTGTGTGGTAAAATCATTGATTACAGTTCTTGTGACAGTGCAGGTATAAACAAATAGATGGAAAGTAGACAGCCATGCTGAACTTCCAGTTCAGATTCACTTAAAATTTTAATTCCCTGGGTGGTTTGTCTCAGCGGTTAGAGTGTCAGCCTGTGGACCAGCGAGTCCTGTGTTTGGTTCCCGCTAGGAGCACGTACCAAAAAAAAAAATTTTTTTTAAGCTTCTCAGTATAATTTTGTGACTTTTAGAAGACTTGTTGAGATTTGAGTGAAAAAGCTAGTGTACAAACTAACAAGATTGAAAGAAAGGTATGGTAAAATTATTTTATCCAAAATTCAGTGGGATTAAGGTCATTCTTTTAAAAGAAGAAAAAATGGAGAATTGTACCCCCCAAAAAGGGAAGTAGCCTTTCATCTTAAAATCTAAATGTGTATCTAATGTGTACTTAAATTTTTACTTTGCAGCTAATTCAAATGTACAAGGGGAAAACACTTGTCAAAATCTGTAATGTGTGAAAATGCAGTGTCCCTTGGAGAAAAACTCCTGTGTCACAACTAGGGGGAGTGCTACTTGGCATCTAGTGAGTATAGGCCCAAGATGCTGCTAAACATTTGACAGTAAACCATACAGCCCCACAACAGAGAATTATCCAGCTCAAGATGTCAGTTGTGCCAAGTTCAGAAACCTTGGCTTAGTGGGGACTTACATAAGTTGTGGCATAGATGATTGGTGTTGTGTAGAAGACGATAGGAATAGAGGAGGTAACTGCACTGGGATGTTTAGCAAACTAGATAGTTCAGGATTGCTGAAGCATACATTTTAAGGCATGGAGTATTGAAAGATGAGGCTGGAAACCTGGATAGAGTCTAGATCAAGGAGGACCTTATCGTGTGCTTTGTTTTGGTCTTGTAGGTAGTGGGGTTCCATGGAGGATTCGTGTGGTGACATTTTTCATTTTAGATAGGTCATTCTGGTGACAGAATGGGGATAAGTTGAGGAGAGAGAGCATTTGAGTCAGGGAGACTGGTGAGAGATCACAATACCCTAGGTGAGGGATAGAGGAGGGTTTGAAATAGGACAAGTAGTAAAAATGGAGAGGAGAGGATGGATTAGAAAAATGTTTAGGAAATAAAATTGGCAAGATTTGGTAATTGGATATGGGGTAAGGGTAAGGAGAATGTTAAGCATGTCTCCCTGTTTTTACTTTAGACAGTCAAATGGAACTGAAATAGGAACCCATTGGTCAGTAATTTAGGTAATTATCAGTAAATTAGGTAAGATGAGTAGGCTTAAAGGAGGTCGGCAATGAGTCACTTTGGCATGTTGAATTTGAGATGCCTGTGGTCCAGGTGAAAATGTTTTGTGTGTATATGAGTCTGAAACTTGGAGAAGTATTAAAAGGATCAAGAGATCTTTTTGTGTAACAAATGTAGGAAAATTAGTGCAATTTAATTTTTCTTATTTTATTTCACTCCCTATATAAAATAACCTACCTTTTAATTTTTGTCAGAAAAGTAATAAGTGTGTACTGGATTTAAAAATTAAAACATAGAATGTTTATAAAATGAAAATAAATTTGTCCTTCCTGCCCATGCCACCCAATCATAGTTCCCTTGTTAAATTAAAAATTCCCTCACCAGAGAATATTTTTTTCATTGTTTTTTGTTTTTGTTTTAGAGAGGGGGGAGTGGAGTGGGGGGAGGGAAACATCAATATGAGAGAGACACATTGATTGGTTGCCTTCCACAGGTGCCCTGACCAGTGTGCAGGCCAACTCTCTAACAACTGACCTATACTCGCCAAGGCCCTTGTTAAATATTTTGTATATAGTAGTCCCCCCTTATCCATGGGGAACATGTTCCAGGATTTCCAGTGGATGCCTGAAACTGTGAATAGTACTGAACCTTGTTACACATACATACCTCGGAGACATTGTGATTTCAGTTCCAGATCATTGCGATAAAGCCAGATGTAATCTTTTTGCTGGTGGAGGGTTTTGCCTTCAATTTGTAAAAAACAAACAAAAAAAATCCCACAACATCTAATAAAGCAAAGTGCAATAAAATGAGGTGTGCCTGTATATACTGCATTTCCCCTACACATACATCCAAAAATGCCTTTTCACTTAAAGGAAGCACTTTTTACAGTTTCTCATTGAAAGCAATACTACTCTTGTGCTTTGGGGCCATTATTAAGTAAAATACAGATTACTTGAACACAAGCACTAACCTAACTTCTAAGTGACTAATGGGAGGGGAGCATATATAGCCTAGATGGTATACAGAGGATGATTCAGGTCCTGAGTGGGACAGAGCTGGATGGCTCAAGATTTCATCCTGCTACTTAGAACAGTGGGCATTTTAAAACTTACGAATTGTTTAGTCTGGAGCTTTTCACTTAATATTTTTGGACCACAGGTAACTGAAACCACAGAAAGTAAAACTGTTGGTAAGGGGGGAGGGGCTACTGCACATATCTTTCCAGAATTTTTTAGATATACAGAAGCATTTAAAAAGCCAAATGCAATCATACTATACAGACTATAGTACTTTATTGTAAAAATAATATTTTATCTTACAAAGTTGTTAAATGAAGTTATGTTATGAAAGAAAATAAGTGAAAAGGGTAAAGTGGAGACTAATGGTTACAGAGCATCCTCTCTTTGATGTAAATTAAAGGATGTACATACATATATGCTGATGTAGGCATTACTTATTTTTCCAAGGATATACAAGAAGCAATAGTAGTTACCTTTGAGAAGAACTAGGTGTAGAGATGCGAAAGAAAACGTATTCTTTTCTGTATATTTTATTTTTTCCTGTGATTTCAGTTTGAGTTTTACCTTGTTAACAAAAAGTGATTATCTTTGCCAGATTTTTCTTACTAGTGCATATGGCTTATTGTTTTTAATAGCTGCAGAGTATTTAGTGATGTGGATTATACTATATTTTAACTAGTTCCTTGTCGATAAACACACATTGCTGTGGCTGCCATGAACATCTTTCACACTGTGTCCATAAGAGACATTTCTGATTATGAAATGATGGGTCAAGGCATATTAATTTAAAAAGTTTTAAAGATATTGCCAGCCCTAGCAGGGTGGCTTAGTTGGTTGGAGCGTCGTCCCATACAACAAAAGGTTGTGGATTTGTTTCCTGGTCAGGGAACATACCTAGGTTGTGGGTTTGATCCCCAGTTGAGGTGCATACCAGAA